ATTCTAAGTTCGTATCTAAATTTAAAATTTAATTTATTTCTATTTGTTTTAATGCATACAATTTTTCTAGATGAGTTAATCAAATAATTTTATATAAAACATTTTTTTTATTTTACTTGTTTATTAATATTATATCAAATATATTACACTATGCCCTCCTTAAGCTATTTTCTTTAATTTAATTTAGTTATTTTATTTTTTGATTTTTGTAAAATTACTTTTATTATAATGAATTCATTGTTTTTATTAAATTCAGAAATTTAAATTGTTTCTTATTACGATATATTTTGCTGTTATTTATGATTTAATGGAGTATTTATCTATTATTTATTATTATATACTTTACTTTAAGATTCACCCATGTTATTTATATAATTAATAAAATAAATAATTAATAAAAATTTTAAATGAATTATGTATTAAATATATTACTAATTCAAATTGTTTTTTTTATTATTACCTTAATCTTATTTAAAAAATATATTAATAATTGTATTCTTGAAAAAAATACAGTAAATAGAAATAAACATATAATATAATTAAAAAAAAAAAATATATATTCAATGAAAACTATATGTTAATATTTTTTTTTTAATATAATTTTATTTTCATTAATTTAAATTTTAATTTATATAAATATAATTATTTTTATTTTATATATAAAGTTAAAAATTCAATATTTTCTAAATCTAGTTTTTATTTTAAATTCTAAGATTCGGTATCATTATTATTAATTAATTTATTATTGTTAAAATTAAATCAAAATTTTTGTAAAAATTATTTAAATTATACTTTTTTAATTTAAAATTATATATCTTTTCTTTAAGTAAATTTAAGTAATTAAAAAAAAAAGAAAAAATTTTAAAAATAAAAAGTAAATATAAAAAGATAGATGTTTTATTAAATATATAATTAAAATATATCTAAATAATATATACAGAAAAATTATAAAATAAATAATAATATATTTTTAATAAGTTAATATTAATAAAAATAAACTACATTATCTAGCGCAATTATGTATAATTATAATTAATTACCTTATTAAGATTAAAAAAAAAAAATATTTAATAAAAAATGGATATTCGAAATTTGAAGCAAATACTATTTAAATAGTAATTTATTTATTTAAAATATTTATAATTATACTTTTTAAAATATTTAATTATTGATTTGCTTAAACATTAAAAGTTATTATACTAAACATAAAAAATAAAATTATTTTTATTATTCAGATTAATAATAAAAACAATTTAATTAATACTTAT